CCAGTGCCTCATGCATACAAGGCAAGTGCTCAACCACTGAGCTATAGCCCCAGCCCCAAGGTTCCATTTTAAATGTTTTGCCTCTGTATATAAAAATTTGGTCTATATGTATATTTTGCTTTTTTAGTGCTGGGCATTGAACCCAGAAGCACTTTACCTCTGAGCCACATTCCTAGCCCTTTTTATTTTAAGACAGGGTCTCACTAAATTCTGAGGGAGTCACTAAATTGCTGAGGCTGGCTTTGAACTTGCAATCCTCCTGCTTCAGCCTCCTGAGTTGCTGGGATTATTGGTGTGTACTACCATACCTGACTCACATGGGTATTTTAATGTAAACGTAGTCAATGAAGSAAATATTTGGTACACACTAAATTTTGGGGTCCATTTTAAAAGAGATTCTAATATATCAAGGATGGCACATACTTTAGAGCCAAAGGGGAAAAATAAAAATAAAAGTGTCTAATGGAGGCACTTAGTCAATGGCTCCCACAGTCAAAACTAAATAACCTTGAGCAAGTTACCTAGTCTCTGTACTTCAGTTTCTTTCTTGTCCATATAAAAGAGAGACATGGGTGCCTGCCTCACAGAGCTGTTTGAAGACAGAGTGAGAGGTTGCAGAGTGATCTAGACATGAGGGCAGCAGGCAACACCTACTACATACTACAGCCAGCCCTGTAAGCTGTGAACACATCACTTCTACCCACTCTGAGGCAGGTGTTCATACTTACTTCATACCAAATTTCACCTTCTTGTTCTCCACCATTAGATCACAGATGTACTTGACTGACAAGTACCGAAGTAACCTGATGTCATAGCCTCTGACCTTATCAAAAAGATGCATGTCCCCACTTCTGAAATAAAAGAGCCAGAGGGAGAAGTTACAAAGCATGTTCACTCAAGAGTTGTTCAGTGATGGGGAGCTCATTCATGAAAGTATGGGTGTCATTGGCCAGAACTTGAGTTACTCTTCTCCAGAGGCCAAGCGGAGGGTGCAGGAAAGGTGACTTTTTAAGAGATTACCCCCACCTCTGGGACACATTTCAAAGGGGAGCAATTTTCAGCCAGAACAGGAAAGGGCTTTCTGGCACTGCCTGACATTRAACCAGGAGACTCAAGATAATCTCAGATCTAAAGAAAAGTGAGCTGGTGGCTGATAGAGTCTTTGAGCTTCTATTAGAGTTGATCTTCCTCCACCCCCTCCCTTTCCCCCATTTAGGACCATTTTTAGCCACATGCCTCGCTCATAATATAACAGATTGAAATTCTTGGAGAGAGAGACTTTGTAGAGCTATTTTATCGAGTGATTGTGAAATACTAGCAAGTAAATTCTCTGTACTTAGCAAGCCTATGAAGCAAGTAGAAAGATAACATTTTTTCTAATCCCCAGGCTACCTTCTGATCAGCCATTAGCWGATACAGACAGAAGTATAAAAAGTAAACAGTCCTGCCATCACATTTAGTTTTTAATGTCCACTGCTTTGTGGCCCTAGCAGTCTCTTTACCAACAGTGCATGCTGCCAATGACCTGGCTGAGGCAGAGGTCACCTGATCTTGAGTGGAGAGAGCCAAACATTCTTGTGCACAAGCCAAAGCCACTGCTTTCAGAGCTACTGRGCAAAACTGGCGCAAAGCAAGATGACTTTTCCCGCACCAATCCATGATTTGGGCAGCTGACCTTACTAGAGTGTTCACATGCATTCCAGAGACGCTTCACACAAGTTACAGACTTGCCACGTGGTGCCAACCATGCAAAGGTGATTTTCTAAAATATCTAATACTGCTATTTAAAACAAAAAAAAAAAATTGAGAGCTGCGGACATAGCTCAGTAGGTAGAGTGCTTGCCTGGCATGCACAAGGCTCTGGGTAGCACCACAAATAAATAAATAATAGGTAGATAGATAGATAAATATAGATAGATAGATAGATAAAAATTTGAAAAGGGACAGGAAGAGTGTGAACCAACACACTCCCTCAAAACACTGATTTGTATCAAGCTCTTTTCAAGGCAACAATCATGCAGTTGTGGGACTTCTAGTCACCGCATGTAACTTCCAGGTTGGGATACAAGGATTCTGTGTGAAGTGTTTCCCCCTCCCTGTGCTATGTGACACCTGACAGGTTGGGAGCTGGTACCCTAACTGCACAATGGAATCTCTATGGGGCTTTAAAACAGAGGGTAGCTGGGCATAGTGGCTCACACCTTAATCCCAGCAACTCAGGAGGCTGAAGCAGGAGAATCACAAGTTGGAGGCCAGCCTCAGCAATTAGCGAGGCCCTATGCAACTTAGTGAGACCCTGTCTTGAAATAAAAATTAAAAAGGCTAGGTATGCAGCACAGTGGTAAAGCGTCCCTGGGTTCAATGCTAGTAAAAACAACAACAAATATAGATGTCTGGGGCCTATCTCAGACCTGCAGTTCCAGGAACCCCAGGGGTGTGACCTTCTGACTAAGATCCTGATGTTCCTTTATTCCAGCTGTAGACTGATCAGGCATTCAGTAATCAGCTTTGGGATGAAACTACTGAACAGACTTCAACAGCACTATTTCAAGGCATGGACTTGGTAGAAGAGAGGAAAGAGCAATCCACTCACAGGGACCAAGGATGATGACACACTGTCAGTATAAGCATGGCTGCCACTGGTGAGACACCCCATCCCCAACCAAGTCTCTACCCACCACCATATAGCACTGACCGAAGAGCACAATCCTCTTCTGTGACGTCCTCCACATCTGCCCAGGCATCATCTGCACCCCCTGCCAGAGAAAGCAGTCTGTCAGCACAGAGGCAGGTGGCTTCCACAAAAGGCTTCCTGACCAGCCTCCTTCCCACAGTGCCAAGTCTGGATGAACCACCTGTCTCTACCCCATGGACAGTCCTCACATCCCTCTCCCAGCACCATGTGCCCATGAGTCTCACAGTGTGCTTTACCTCTGAAGAGCATTCCTGCTGTCTCCTGGTCCCTGAAGAAAGGAATGCCCTGGTTTCCACSCAGCTCACTTACACCTCCTTACACAACTGTGACCATGGCAGCCAGACTCTAGAACTAGATTCTCATTCTTAGTCCCAGAGGAGGCTGCTTAAAACTCACCTGAGAAAAAATAGTTGTAGCCAGAGCGTCCATAGAGCTCCCCCCATCCAGCCAGCGTGGCTGACCTGCAAATGTGCTGGGAGACAAAACAACATGTTCAGAGTCAGCTGGTTTTCTGAAGTATAATCAACTGAAGGAAGGCCTGAGCGCTGGATTCTTCTAGGTGAACAAAATGGGTCAAGGTGTATTCCCCAAAGTTTTTATCAGCATCAAGGCTACCACAGCCAGTCTCAAGGATGCCTGGAACTTAATACACAGTCTTATTTAGAGGCTTCCCCTCAAATCTGAGGCACCAAAGTGTTACCAACAGTAATGGACATTTGGTGGCTGGTCTGTGTGTACCCGAGCACATGCTAAGCAAGCACTCTACCACTGAACCACATTCCCTAGCCCATAGTATTCTATAATTTTCCAGAGGCCCACTTTACCTCTCCAGATTTATTGGGTATAGTACACAAAGTACTGAAAGATTCATGCATTTTCTCACTGAACTTTTACAACCAGCCCATGAGGAAGGTATGGCTGGTAGGTGGCACTGCTATTACTTCACTGATGAGGAAAAGAGAAATAGGCGCAGGAGGCTAAGGAATGAACAAGGTCATAAAATAAAGGGTAAGTTGCTCCTTGATCCAAAACCAACTACCTCCAAAGTCTGTGTGCTTATTACTTGGAACTTTTTAGAAGGAAGGAACACAATGCAGGGAGGATATTTAAGGAACAAATATTTGGTGGCTTTTTGGCTTGTTTTATGGAGCTCTGGAGGGAACCAAGGGACTCATGCACACTCTATGAGCACTCTGCCACTCAGCTATACTTTTTTACAACTTTTAAAAGAAGAAATTATTGCTGGGTCCAGTGGCATGTGCCTGTAATCACAGTGACTGAGGCTCAGGCAGGAGGATTGCAAATTAAAGGCCTATGAGGTCCTGTCTCAAAATACAAAATAAAGGGATGTAGCTTAGTGGTAGAGGACCCCTGGGTTCAATCTCCATAGCACAAACAAGGAAAAAAAGGGGGGGGGGAATTATGATCCTATTATTGTGCTGAGATATTATTTTGCTTTTTTCCTTATCACTGAAGGAATCATTTTAAGAGTTAGAGAATTTCAGAAACCAGGGAACCATGTGTACTTCAGTATTTAAATGTAAGTCCACTCCTTCAAATAAATTGTATCTGATAAGATCCAGTAGAGTTGGGGAGAATGGGAGGAGGTTCCAAGAGATAAGGAATCTGCAAGTTGGCAAAAGGCTGGGAGAACACAGCCCCAGGATGGTAGAGAGTGGAAAAGTTGTGAGAAAAGAGCAGAAGTCACACAATCTGGAGATGCAAAGTGGGCTAGGAAATGTGGTTCAATGGTAGAATGCTTGCCTAGCATGTAAGTAAGAGCCTGGGTTTGACTCACAGCACTTGGCAAAAAACTAATGAACAACCACAACAAAAACGGAGGAGACAGACGGGTGTGGTGGCACATGCCTGTAATCCCAGTGGCTTGGAAGGCTGAGGCAGGAGGATCACGATTTCAAAGCCAGCCCCAGCAAAGGCAAGGCACTAAGGAACTCAGGGATACAAAATGGTGCTGGGGATGTGGCTCAGTGGTTGAATGCCCTTGAGTTCAATGCCCAGTACCCTACCTACCACCACCACCAAAAAACACAGATATCTACAAATGGCCAAAATACTATCTAAAGGCTTCTTCTTCTCTTCCTATAAGATAAGGGGAGGAAAGAGTTTGCTGCTACAGAAAAAAGATGTGCATGGGAACCACTATCATCTTCTGATCTCCCTGGGGGTGGGAGCAGGCAATAGAAAGCAGCCTGCATCCAACCTGGGAGGCTGGGTGCTTTGACCTATTTATATCTCTTCCTTTCCCACTACTCCAGCTCCAAAGACTATCTTGGTTCATCTGACTCCCCTCATCATAGCCTGGGACCACTACTGCTTTATCTAGAGCAGCATCTTGTCACTGAGCATGCACTTACCTGTCAACCCTTCCTCATAYGGAGGTTGGCCTGGAAGCCTATGGAGAAGATCTAGGGGTGGACGGAAGTGAGGGGGCCTCACCCTCACCTACCTTTTTCTGGATCTAAAACCACTTTAACAATCTGATGAAAACTGCTGGGTAGAGAGACACATGCCTATAATCCTAGTGATTCAAGAGGCTGAGGAAGGAGGACTACAAGCTCAAGGCCAGCCAGGGCAACTTAGCAAAACCCTGTCTCAAAATAAAAAGGACTGCRGATGTGGCAGTGGTAAAACAGCCCTAGGTTTAATCCTTAATAAAACAAAAACAAAAACAGAAAACTGATAAAAATTATCAATTATCTCCAAAACAAACAAAAACCATACATACCACAGTTTACCTACATTTCCAGAGCTTTGTCCATCAAGGAACCCAGCCCAGCTCTTGGTTAAGATGAGACAAGTAGGGTCTGGGGCTGTAGCTCAGTGGCAGAGTGCTTGCCTAGCATGCAGGAGGCACTGGGTTTGATCCTCAGCACCACATAAAAATAAACAAATAAAATAAGGCATTCTGTCCATCTATAACTACAAAAAATTTTTTTTAAAAATCAGCCAAGTAATTTGGAGAAGCAAGATGGAGAGCTTCAACAAAGAGGGACAATCCCCAGGTAGAGAACCCCCAAGACTCCCATGGAGGAGATTTCTGATCCCTATGAGTAGGGTGACAGGAGGGGTGCAGCCATCCATCTGGCATAGGTCATACTCACCCTCCACCCTCATCTCAACTGCTGGGATCTGCCTCACTTTCCTTTGAATTTATCTGTTAAATCTTTTCAGAGCAGTTACAAATCATCTCTGGTTGTTGAGCATTCAGACCTTCTTGCTTCCCATTCTTCTCCTAAACCCCTTCTGTTGTCCTTGTCTTTTTGGATAGCCATTCAGCCAGACCTGGCCTATTAGGACACACTCACAGTCAGATARAGAAGAAAAAGTGAGTTGGCTAAGTTCCTGAGTGAGTACCAAACTCTTCAGAAAGGCCTCAAGTGGCAGAAGGTCTACTCTACCATGGTAGAGTCTAACTCGAAATGCCTGCTCCAAAGCCTAATGACTCTAAATCATGATCCATCATTTCTGCACCTTAACAAGACACACTACGAATGCTCTTCAGTTACCTAATTAGAAATGGCCTCCAATTCTACATGTAGAATAGCACTCAAGAATCTGTTAATCTAATAAATAACTTTGGCAAACAAAATAAAAGTGACTGGGCTGGAGCTGTAGCTCAGTAGTAAAGCATGTGCTTAACATGCATGAGGTCTTGAGTTCAGTCCCCAGCACCACCAAAAAAAAAAAAAAAAAACAAAAACAGCAAAAAAATAAAAGTGACTGACCTGTGTCCTACCTTTTAAGGGAGAAAACAAAAGGAAAGATGAAGCCAGGTACAGTGGCACACACCTGTAATCCCAGTGGCTCAGGAGGCTAAAGCAGAAGGATCACAAGTTCAAAGCCAGCCTCAGCAAAAGCAAGATGCTAAGCAACTCAGTGAGACCTTGTCTCTAAATAAAATACAAAATAGGGCTGGGGATGCAGCTCAGTAGCCCAGTGCTCCTGAGTTCAATCCCCAATACAAAAAAAAAAAAAAAAGAAAAAAGAAAGAATTGTCCTAGTTTTTTTTAAGGGGATTGAACATAGGGGTTCCCTACCACTGAGCTACATCCCTAGCCCCCAAAAAGTTTCTTTTCTTGGTACCAGGGATTCTACACAGGGACAATTAAGCATTGAGCCATATTACCATCTTTTTTWAATTTTGATACAGTTTCTCGCTAAATTGCTTAGGAGCTAGCTAAATTGCTGAGGCTGGCTTTGAACTTGTGATTCTCCTGCCTCAGCCTCCTAAGTCACTGGGATTATAGGCCTGTGCTCCTGTGCCCAGCCATAAAGTTCATTTTAACCAACCAAATAAACAAAAAACTCTTTTTACATTGCTTTCACACTAATTTAATTTGAACGAAATAAAATAAAATCAAACATTTACTTCCTCAGTCACAGTAGCACACTGAACCGAGTTCTGAAGGAAGCAGGGAACAAGTATTTTATACCTCTCTCCCTTCCCTACATTGGGAAAAGAAGGTGCTCCAAAAGTAATGTTGATCATTATACTGCCACCCTTGGAGCGAGTTACAAGTGCCTGCTGTGAGCCACTCATCTGAGAAGCAGGTCCCCAGCTCACAGCAGCAGCCCTATGCTCCTGTCCTTTCTAATTTCCCTCCAAATGCCTTTCCTACTTTGTCAGCCCCAAGGACCATTTTGTTCATCTGTCTCTCTAGAGCCTAATTGAAGGACCACTACTATTTGATTCAGAGCCACATCTTCCTGCCAAGCATGCACTTACATGACAGACAGTCTGCCAGTGGATAGCAGGAAGACAGGTGCCAGTGGACAGCAGGGAGACAAGGCCTCTGCCCAATGGAATTATAACATGACAAAATAGATGTTGCACCACATAATCAAAACAAAAATACATGTACACAGGTGTTAGGCACTGACTTGGTGGGAGCTAAGAAGAAGGAAAGTGAAGAGAAAAATAGCATCACACTGCTGGGATGTGAAAGTGCAAAGGGAGAAGAAAGCAGAACTAACCACAAAGCCCTTGTGAACATCTAGGATGCCAAAAGCTCCTCAGGCTTAGACTGCACAGCAAACTCCCTGGTAGAAATTCATTGCCATCTCTGTGATCTATTAGCGCCTAGGGCTCTTTCCTYACAGCCCACCTGAAATCTAGGGGCTATCCATCTGCCAGACAACTCCCCTTCTAGGGTAAATCTCAAGAATCTGGAACTATTTAGCATGGCATTTCCCAAATGCATTCAGCAAAGTTCCTGTCACATGATCCACAGAACAAAGAGGAATTCCAGAATAGACAGAGCCAGAGCCACATGGGTATCTTCACTGAGGGACTTCTAAACTGTCACTATATGTATACCAATGCATTTTTTAAAATTTATTCATTCATCCATTTAGTGATACTGGGAATCAAACCCAGAGCCTTGTGCATGCTAGGCAAGTACACTACTGCCAAGTCACATCCCCAGTCTACCAACGAATTTTATAAATCTGGAGTCAGAGATTAAGCCAGCTCTACCATTTAGTATTTCTCCTTATTTGATGAAATGCTTTTCACAAGCCTATCCTTACACTGCTGTTCTGTGGAGCAAACACTGGTTCAAGTATTTCCTATTTCTAGTGACAAGCACTGTGATCCACAGAGCAATGATCTRTAAACTGAAGACCCCGTAACTTCTAAACACAAAAACTTTCTCAAGTGGTAACAAACAGCTATATGAAGATCAATTTCTGAGACCTAGCATCCACATATACTTTTGCCCTAAAAAGTCTTCAACAGGGGGCTGGGGATGTGGCTCAAGCGGTAGCGCGCTTGCCTGGCATGCGTGCGGCCTGGGTTCGATCCTCAGCACCACATACAAACAAAAGATGTTGTGTCCGCTGAGAACTAAAAAAAATAAATAAATATTAAAATTCTCTCTCTCTCTCTCCCTCTCTGTCTCTCTCTCACTCTCTCTTAAAAAAAAAAAAAGTCTTCAACAGAAACTTCTTTTCTACCTCCCTTTCTCACCCGCCCTTTTGCTACACAAAAAAAGGTACCCCAGGACTAGGCCAACACACACTCTCCTCCCCACTGCTTAGGTCAATCAGGCTGGGTAACTACAGCTGCAGGCTGTGCACTACTGGAGAGAGTGTGGCACTCAGAGATTTGCTGCATAGGCTGTACTCCTGTTTCTCTCCCTCTTCTAGGCTCTCTGCACTGGCAGCATTTGGCCTCACTCATTCAATCCCTTCCATTCCCTGCTTGGAGAAGAGAATACTCTCTTTTCTAGTCATGAAGGCCTTCTGCTTATCTCTCCTTTGCACCTCCATGCTTTCTCCAATGCTGTATCACCTGCTTGGGACACCCTCCTACCCCTTTTAGTCAGTAAGCATCCTGCTTGTCCTCCAACACTCTCAAGCCACACGACTCTCTCTAGAGGCCACTGGTCAATCTGTCAGTCCACATCACATAACTCTCTTTGTTGAGTTCCCCTTACACCACACCAAATGACCTTCATCTGCACTATGGTATTGAAGATAGGTTCAAATACCAGCTCTTGTGCTATGTAAAATAAACTTGGGGAAGTTACTTAACTATTCTGAGCCTTTGTTTCATTTGGATGTTCCCTGACACACCTGTAATCCCAGCATCTCAGGAGGATGAGGAGGAAGGCTGTAAGTACAAGGATAGCCTCAGCAACTTAGTGAGACCCTGTTTCAAAATTTATTTATTTATTTTTTTATTTATTTATTTTTTTAAATATTTATTTTTTAGTTTTCAGCAGACACAACATCTTTGTTTGTATGTGGTGCTGAGGATCGAACCTGGGCCGCACGCATGCCAGTGGAGCGCACTACCGCTTGAGCCACATCCCCAGCCCCTCAAAATTTAAAATAATAATAATAATAATAATAATAAAAAGTGCTGGGGATGTGGCTCAGTGGTTAATCACCCCTGGATTTAATCCCCAGTAGCAAAAATGAGACCACATTAGGAAGCCAACTTAATTGTAGCCATTAGAACCCAAGCTCCATAAGAGTAAGGATTTTGTCTGCTTTACAAGCTGACACATCTCAAGGCCTGAAACTGGCTGGTGCTATGTACAGTTTGTTAACTGCATGACTGAAAGAATGAAAAAACCATGAAGTCTGATCTCATTTGATTTAATCTACTCTATAACCTTTAATGCTGGTATGATTATTATCCTCCTTTCCTAGTAAAGTAAACTGAGGCCCTGCACAAGCAATAAGTACCAGAGTCACAATCTAATCTTTCAAGGAGAAGGGTGAGATGAAGGTTCATGGTCTACATGGCTATAAAACATTCCAACTTTCTTTAAYTGTCCAAACAGCTAAAAGGGCAGAACACAAGGTGGGGCTATAAAGATTCCTTCCCTACCTGAAATCATCCTTGAATCAGAAGTGATCTGTTTCTCTGGCCTGCTTCTGACAGCACCAGATACAGTAACCATCCCACCCTTGGCTGGCAGAGAACAAAAAGACACTACATTTTGCATGAAACCAGTTACTCCAGAAGAGGGTCTCAGAGCATGGGGATGTGGGATGGGCCTTACCTTGCCTTTGAACAAGATTACTGGGCAGACGAACCGTCCTCTGCACCTGGCCATCTTGCTGCGATTGATGAGGTCTTGCAGCTTGCTCACTTGCACAGTGCTCTGAAACCTAACACAAAGGCAAGAGGCAGGTCAGACTGGCTTCCACATGGGCACTTTGCCACGGGCAAAAGGTCTACATACATGTATAAGAATACTCACTGGAGAGCTAATAAATGCTATTAATTCTTTCTTTTTTTTTTTTTTTTTAAAGAGTGAGTGAGAGAGGAGAGAGAGAGAGAGAGAGAGAGAGAGAGA